ACACTTCTGACTGCGCTCCAAAAAACACCTGGGTCTGCGACCCTGATCTCGCCCCATCCGGCTACGCTTCCTACTGCGCTCTAAACACCTGGGTCCGTGACCCCGATCTCGCCCCGCAACTCCGACTCACCCAATCCCATGGCATGCACCGACACCAGGATTAGTGAGACCTGTCTCGACCAAAGTAACTACCTCACCCGATCCCGCGGTGCGCACCGACGCAAGGATCCGCGAGCTCCCTCTCACCTAATCTCTCGAGCAACCAAAATCACATGGGCTGCACAACGACGCCTAGGTTGACAAAACTCCGTCTCAAACTAAAAAGCACGTACACACGCCCGCTAACCGAACATCCCCTAGACGGTTCTGCCCGAACCGCCCGGGGGCTCAGGGGCTACACCCGCGGGTGAGCTCGCGCGCACCCGCCGGCAAGGCAAAAATCCCCCGGACAATTCTGCCCGAATCGCCCGAAGGCTCGGGGGCTCCTGTCGGGTTCATAAACCCGGGGTCCCTCAGGGACCGGCTTCCGCGCCAAGGCTCAGCCCAAGCAGACAACATATTACTCGTGGGCTGGCCCACGGGTCTAGGACAACAGGCCGAAAGAGCGGTCCAGTCACCGACCGGAAGGTCTGGCTGAAGAGGAAGAGCGCCCGCTCATCGACTACTTCGGCCCACCTCTCCGACCGGAGCGCTCGCTTCGGACTCCAGCCGCCTCCGGACGACCTCTCCGATCGGAAGGCCTGGCCCAAAGTGCTACTTTCGACTTCGACCCCGTGTCTCCGACCGGGGTTCACAGAAACCCTGCTCACCGCTCTTCTCCGACTGGCGCGACCAGGGCCGACTAGAGTCGTCCGACCCGGGACGCCCGCTCGGAAGGAACCAGGGGACAAACGAAGAAAGCAAGGCGCACAAGTCAAACCACGCTACCAGGGACCATACCCTGAGCACCTGCGGGAACAGTGCTCTGCAACCGCCCTAACAGAAACAGTATTGTAGGCGTCGACATTTACCTCTACAATGTTGTGGGCGCCGTTAACTCCCATACGGTAAGACCATCCACATGCCTCTATGCATCAACAGTGTTATGGGCGTCGGGATTTACTGTGCCAGGTGAACGCGGTGAGACTCCTCACATGCCTCTAGGCATCAATAGTATTTTGTAGGTACCGACATCTACCATTCCCGAAAAAGGCAACACGACCCCCCACATGCGTCTGACATTCTATAGTGACATCAACAGTGTTATGGCCGCCTACCATTATCTTGTACTCACCGGCATGGGCGACACAGCCCAATAGCATACGTACCCTCACCCTCTCACTTGTAAAGCCATCCCTTTTGTCTATAAAAAGGGATGCGCTCCCTCCAACAAAGGGGTCCATTTTAGTCCTTTTAAGTAAAAAACCATAATCGATCAAGTTCATCAGCTCACAACCACGGAACCGCCGGGTTCATACCCCAAGCACGCGCTTGAACACTTAGCTCATAGCGTAGCTCCTATCGCTCTTGGCCCTTCCGACCAGAGCCGATCGGGCCTTTTCTATACCCCATCTTTCTTCTTCTCGTTTGTAACCCCATTACAAAACGAGCACCTGGGCTCAGGAATAAAGTCACCAACCGACTCAAACTGGACGTAGGGCACGTTGCTTGAACCAGTATAAACCCTGTGTCATTGAGTGCTAGGCCACCTCTGATCACAACGTACGGCAAAACTATAAATATTTACTAGTTGGTCATATTCTGCACCGACACCAGGACACCACGGCCTTGGTGAGGCTGTCAAAGATCCGGTGAACTCGACCATTGCTACTGTTCTTGCTTGGCAAAACATATCACAATGCAGAAAAAATTAGAAAAAGTCTACATAACCCCCAAACTATTTAGGGTGTACTACTTCACCCCTAAACTATAAAACCAGATTTTCTATCCCTGAACTTTCTAAAACTGGTCAAATAACCCCAAACGATTTTGGACAGTGGTTTTGCTACGGTGACGATAGTTTTGTCTTATTTATTTATTTATTTTCGCCAAATCTTTGAAAAACCATAGTAAATCACAGAAAAATCATAAAATAGAAAATTTCAATTTTGTTGGACTCTACATGAGTAGATCTATATAGTGAACATATAATATGGTATGCTTTAGTACAAAGTTTTTGTTGTAGCTTTAGATCTATGTTTTTCTGTAATTAATTGAAATAATTCATAGTTGCTACTTCTATGGTTCAATTATGGTGAAATTTTTATGACGAGCTAATTATTGTATGTTTGAACTGTAGTAAAAATTTCATACTCATTGGATCATGTATAACTTAGTTATAGATTTATTTATGTTTATGCTTGTTAAATCTATGCTTTATCTATAACTAAGTTATACATGATTCAATGAGTATAAAATTTTACTATAATTCAAGCATACCATAATTAGCCCATCATAAAAATTTCACTACAATTGGACCATAGAAGCTGCGGCTATGAATTATTCAATTTAATTACAGAAAAGCATAGATATAAAGTTAGAGAAAAACTTTGTACTAAAGAATATCATATTATATGTTCACTGTGTAGATCCACTCATGTGGAGTCAAACAAAATTGGATTTTCTATTTTATGATTTTTATGTGATTTACTATGGTTTTTTCAAAGATTCAGCAGAAATAAAAAAAAGACAAAACCACCGTCCAAAACCGCTTGGGAGTTATTTGACCGGTTTTACAAAGTTCAGGGGGTAGAAAATCTGATTTTATAGTTTGGGGTGAAGTAGTCCACCCTGAATAGTTTGGGAGGTTATGTAGATTTTTTTCAAAAAAAGATGTTGTTTAGCTATTATCGAAAATGCTGTAGGCAAGACGTCTGTCCCGTCCGGACGCTCTTTCATAGGCCTACGTCCTAGCCCAATAAACCTTCTGCGTCCATCTGTTTCGCCGTCCCTGTTGCTCGCCTTTGCTCCGCCGCCCCCTCCTCCTACTCCTGTTCCGCGTGCCGCTCCTGCCACTGCTCCTTCCGTCGCTAAACCCGTTGCTCCTATCGCTGCTCTTATTCCTATTCTGCGCGCCCACCCCGCCCGATGACGCTAACAGGTGCCACCAGCGTAAGGAGAAGCGTCGGCCCTGGCGCGGAAGCCCTCTGGCCTTGCCGGCGCCCGGATGAAGACGGTGGAGGAGGTTGCACCGGGATACGATGCATGTTGCAAATGTACAATTCAAAATGTTTCAGAAGTTTGAGAGGTACGTTGCAAGCATTGCATGTCAATGTTGCAAAAGTTGATCGGGATGCTGCATATGTTATAATGGCTATACATGTATGTTTAAAGTGTATGTCCCAAATATTTTATCCGTTCCACATGAATGTTGTAAGCGGTTTATCCGGATGTTGCAAAAGTGGGTCTAGATGTTGCATGTACATGCATATTGCAAGCATATATTTCAAGTGTTTTGAGATGTTTCATAAGTTTGTTTGCAATTGTTTCATCTGGATGTTGCATATGTTTGCAATGGTTTTCAAACGTTCTCGCAAGTGTTTCAGACTTTTGTTTCAAGTGTTTCATCTGCCATTTTTTATGTTGTAATTGTTGTATCTGGATGTTTTAAAAGTGTATCGGGTGTTGTACATGGGATACGCGTGGGAAGCGGCTGGCAGCGCGGACGACGTTCGAACGGCATGGGCAACGTTCGGAGCGACGCGGGTCCACTGTCGGTGTGCTCGCTTACGAACCCGATGTGCTAGGCGCTCGATCGCTCGCTCTCTGTGCAAGCAACGTCCGGCCGGTTATTCGGCAAAACCTAGTTGTCCTAGAAATTGCCACGCACCACTTCAGTATTTTCCGAGCCCAGCGATATGAGGCAGCATGAGCGCATTCACGTTCCACACAAATGCTCACGGACCTTTGAGTACTCCCTCTCCCTTTATCTCATGCGTCCAAATGGAGAGCGATGCGTAGTGGAGCTCCACTTTCCTACCTGCTTCCAATAATTCGTTGTTCACAGGAAAGAAAATGCTGCAAATGCAGGTATCTACACTATTATGCCAAGGTGATACTTGATAGGCTCTTGACATTTCTATAAAACCATATATTTATATTTATTATATCCTACACATATATTTGTTATATTAAAAATATAGAAGCTAAAGTTTGGAGTAATTGATTAGAGGTAAAATGAAACACATCACTATTTGAGTATGATAAGCACATATTTTTACAATATTGTTTGTCAGTCATATTTTATCTGGAAGGCAGTAATAAATGGTTACCAAAAATTGGCTACGTGAAAACAAGATAGAATATAATCAATAATTTTGATGTAATTTACCATGGAAGGTAAAACTCGTGATGAGTAAATAAAATAAAAAAATATAATAAAAACGGTCCATAGGAGTGTTCCAAATCTACCGTCGTGTTTAGTTTCAGGAAGTTGGAATTTTGGGCAACTGTAGCACTTTCGTTTTTATTTGACAATCAGTGTTCAAACATGGACTAATTAGGCTCAAAACGCTCGTCTCGTAATTTTCCACTAAACTGTGTAATCAGTTTTTTCGTCTATAATTAATACTCCATGCACAGACCGTAAACATTCGATGTGATGAATACCATAACATTTTTTAGGATTTTGGGTTGAAACTGAATATGGGCTACAATAGCACGGGCGGACAGGCCTCAGTGCCTCACGTTAACTTCGCCAGCCTCCCCAAACGGCAAATGGCCAAGTCACCAACGCAGCCAGCCATCAGCCTGTTCGAAAGGCCGTATCATATCATAAATTATTTATTATTAGTTGGTTTAGTATGAGAAAAAACACTATTCTTAACTAAAAATTTACGATCCTTTACCAACACGCTCCATAACTCCGCCCCGATCTATCCGTCGCCCCCCAAAAACACGAGAGCGCAGGAAGAGAGAGAAACAAAAAATAATAATAAGGAAAGAAAATAATAAGAAAAATTCTCCCGTGTTCTTCGACCGGCGGTGGTGGTGCGAACGCGAGGCGACCAAGCGGAGACGAGATGAGGGGGCCGAAGCGGCCGCTCGGCGTGGTGACGTCGTGGGTGCGGCGGCAGCCGCCCAAGGTGAAGGCCTTCCTGGCCGTTGTCACCGGCATGGCCGCGCTCGTCTTCATCCGCTTCATCGTCCACGACCACGACAACCTCTTCGCCGCTGCCGAGGCTGCGCACGCGCTCGGCATAGGCGTCCTCATCTACAAGCTCACCAAGGAGAAGACCTGCGCCGGTTCGTTTCCGTCCGCTTCTTTGACGCCCGTTCCCGATCTGTCGAGATCGCCCGTGCCGGCGCCGATAGGGTCTAGGATGTTTATAGGATTTGGCCCGCCAATTCAGCGTTTCAGAAGGCGATTTTACTGGCATGGTTTGCAATTTTTATTTTGCGAAGAATTTGTGGTTTACTGCTGTGTACATCTATCTAGGAGGCGGAAGGTTAGAATATTTATTCGATCTATTTTTTATATCTATAAATACCCCTTATGTTTTTGTCCATTTTTTAGATAATGTTTGTTGTGAGGCTAGACAGATGTGTAGCACTGTTATGGTCTGGGGTTTTTATACAGGATTCAGTGCTAAAGTACTCATCTGGTATATTTTGGAGCTGCAAGACGTGCTTGATTACATTATCCTTTTGATTTGACTGGGGAAATTTGTATAGGCTTATTAGACTCGTTTCTTAGAATGGTGTAGCGTTTCGACAGCTGTTTTGAAAAATCTGGAGAAACCAAATCTTGAATAAGAATCGCGTGGTTTCCATTATTTTTTTGTTCTTTTTAGCTCTTTCAACATCTATTTGTTTATTAGAATTCCTTCTACTGAATTATGCATTCTTGTATCATTTCTTCCAGTTAGCGAATCCCTTATTCCAAGTGCATAGATTTTGTTTTATATACTGCAGATGTTTCGATTACTATAGATTTTATACGAATCAGTTGTGTATCTACTTGGCATGGTTTAGATTTGGAATTACCATATCAGAGATCTTGAGATTATTCATATGTGCAATATAAACTTATTGATGGTTTACCTTGTGATTTCTTTCACTTGGTGGATCTAGTCGTATACAAACTCATTTGGTTTGATATTTTTTCAAAAAATCCCACCTCTAGCTGTGAAAATTACCCTAAAATTCACTGTCCGATGTATATGATTTCTTTAGAATGTCTGTCTCAACGCCTTTGCTTTTCATGTTGCAGGACTGTCCCTCAAGTCTCAGGATTTAACTGCGTTATTTCTAGCTGTTAGACTGTACTGCAGCTTTGTCATGGAGTATGACATCCATACGATTCTGGACACTGCTACACTTCTAGCCACACTGTTTGTTATTTATATGATACGGTTCAAACTGAGGTCAACTTATATGGTGGACAAGGATAACTTTGCATTGTACTATGTGGTAAGAAATAAACTATGAATTCAGATCAGTTTCTGTTCTTAGCTAAGATTTTCAGTTTCTCATACCCATGTGATTGATATTGAGTTGGAGCTGTCCAGTTTCTGCAAAATAGAGCCACATTATCATCTCAATGTATTTGCTTTGTACTGAATTTGGTTAGGTTAAGACCAAGGCTCTGTGAGCTTTATGGTTAGAATGCACATCACCTTTTAGATCATTTATTATTGAAATGTTTTGAAATTCATCTCTCTTTCTGTACTTCTGGGATTGGAGGTAGTGCTTCTCTGATGCTTCTGCTAACAGAAGGCATTGGACTTATGCTGGCTAATTTTACTTCTTCTGCCACAACATTGCACATCTTAGTTGTATATTGCCATCTTATTGTGCTTGGGCTTTTGTTATTACCTTTCAAGGTGCTACCATGTGCTGGACTGGCACTACTTATTCATCCTTCAACATCTCATAACATTGTGAATCGGATCTCCTGGGCGTTCTGTGTTTATTTGGAAGCTGTTTCAGTGCTGCCACAGTTACGCCTGATGCAAAATACTAAGGTAATATCACCATCTTGCCATTTGGTTCCATTGATTGCAGGATAATAAGTTTGACTTAGTTTTACCATCTTTTGCAGATTGTTGAACCGTTTACAGCTCACTATGTATTTGCATTGGGGGTTGCAAGGTTTCTTAGCTGCGCCCACTGGGTTCTACAGGTCCGTCTTTTTGGATAGACTCTTGAGCTAGTACATACACAGCTGTATTATATTGTAGCAGCCTTCGTTTTTGTTCTTATTGTTTTTTGTACCTAACAGAATGCTGGGCAATATAGACTGGTCATCGTAGATGTGAGAACTTTTTTACGTTTACCTAGGTCATTTTTATTGAACAGACAGATTTCTTGTTTTGGGGTGGTGGGGAGTGTCTTATGACCATTGTAGATTTGTAGTCACTCATGACCATGAAAAAACACTTCCAATTCTCTAGTCTAGTGTTTTCACATCACTAAAATACACTTAGGCAAATGGTACTCAAACCCTGATCATCGGAAGCCACAAATTCTGTAATGTAGGTTTTGGACACGCGTGGCCGTCTGTTGACAGCTCTCGGCTATGGTTTGTGGCCGTCTATGGTGCTTTTATCAGAAATCGTGCAGACATTCATCCTTGCAGATTTCTGCTACTACTATGTGAAGAGGTAAATTCAGTATCACTGTTAAGTTTAGTTGGCCGTTCCTTTGGGCATCGTCTAATAAGTGATTGTCGTTGTACAGTCTGGTTGGTGGGCAACTGGTGCTACGGCTTCCCTCAGGGGTGGTGTAAGAAGTGCAGCAGGATACAAAACTTAGTGCTTCACCGATTGATATGTACTCTGAATAACAGTTATGCTCTAGTGCCCAACCTGGGAGCCTTTTTTAGTTGATGATATGTACTCTGAATATGTATGACAAAATTGCTGCAAGGGTCCTCTTAAAAGATAGGTTGTCGTTGGGACTGTTTGTAGCTGCGCGTTTCTTGATACCCAATCTCTCAGTACTTGTAGCTTCTGCTGTATGACTGTTGTGGTCTTAGAATCAGGTGGTAATGGTCTCTTTGGATTAGATAATTCCAGAATGCTTTCATATGTTTTTGCCGCAGGCAAATTGATCTTGATCTATGCAGAACTAGCCATGTGAAAATCGTGGGACCAAGGCCTATCAGGTCGTATTCACTTGACATTGGGATTATCAGGAGTAGGGGACTAGGGGTTCCTTTCTGGTCCATTACTAATCTTTAGTACAGTTTTCCTTTAATAGTCAGTTCAGGATGGTCTAGTTGGATTGAGGGTGGATTGCGGTTGCCTCATGCATTCTTCCTGGCAGCTCACACCAGTTCCGCCTGCAATTCTTCGGTTTGTTGACCAGACACAGAAATGGTGTGCAGGAGTACTAGTAGACTACTAGGAGTGTAGGAGCCGTGCCCATGCGCGTGCGTGTCCGAAAAGCAAAAAGGCGCTCCGATTGGAAAGTTAAGCTCGTGTTTAGCCGAATTTTGGAATTTAGGTAACCGTAGCACTTTTGTTTTTATTTGGTAATTAATATTTAATCATGGATCAATTAGGCTCAAAACGTTTGTCTCGTAATTTTCAATCAAACTGTGTAATTAGTTTTTTTCGTCTATATTTAATGCTCTATACACGTATTACAAGATTCGATGGGATGGCTACTGTAGTACTTTTTTGGAATTTGGGTTTGGAACTAAACGCGGCATAAAACCCCCGTGGGTGGCATGGATCGCTCCTCGGACCCTTTCTCTTTGCCACTTGAAGGTTGAATCCGAATACTGTCGTCGTAAAATCTTTGGGCCTGTTCGGCAGGACTGAAAAATACTGTTCCGGTTGATTGTTGTGAGAGAAAAATACTGTTCTGACAGGACATAAACAGTGATTTCGTGAGAGAAAAAACAAGCCAGCCGAACAAGCCCTTTGCCAATTGCCACTTCTGGCGCTGGCTGGAACCTGCTGGCTGCTGCGGCTGCAGCGCAACGCCGGATGCGGTGTCCAGACCTTGCTACGTCGTGGAATGCATCAGCGTCTCCAGCAAAAGACAACGCGGCAACGCAAGAGAGTCGACTAGCCAAGTCGAGTGTCGACTAGCAATAGAAAGCCAAGTCGGTCGAACCCTAGTACACTACCGCTCTGCTGCCCCGTCTCACGTGTAGACACGGCCGGATGAACGGCTTGATCCATTCAAAAAAGTCACGAGCACCGCACGCCCGTACGCCACGGCATCGCGGTCGCGGCAGGCCAGCAGCAGCAGCAGCCCCCGACCCAGGACCCGAGCGCCGGACAGAAACCGCAGCAGACCAAACACGAAACTCTCGCCGAACTGATAAAAGCCCAACCCAACCTCTCGTCTCCCGGTCTGCCCCGTCCGCCTCTCCCTCCCTGTCTCTCTCCCCCACTAGCCTTCCTCCCCTCCTCTCCTGTGGGCGCTCGCTCTCCCCCGCCCCCAAATCGCCGCGCCGCGCCTCGCCTCGCCTCACAGCACCGGTTGCGTGGGAGGAGGGAGAAAGGAAGGAAGTAGGGGAGGGGAGGCGGCCGTCGAGCGAGATGAGCGACTCCTTCTGCCCCGACTGCAAGAAGCAGACGGAGGTGGCGTTCGACCACTCGGCGGGGGACATGGTGTGCACCGAGTGCGGCCTGGTCCTCGAGGCGCACTCCGTCGACGAGACCTCCGAGTGGCGTACCTTCGCCAACGAGTCCAACGACAACGACCCCGTCCGTGTCGGCGGCCCCACCAACCCGCTCCTCACCGATGGCGGCCTCTCCACCGTCATCGCCAAGCCCAACGGCGCGCAGGGCGATTTCCTCTCCTCCTCCCTCGGCAGGTGGCAGAACCGCGGCTCCAACCCCGACCGATCCCTCATCCTCGCCTTCCGCACCATCGCTAACATGGCTGACAGGTCCGCCTCTTCTCCCGCCTCTCCGCTCCTCCCTTACTTACGCTACAGGTTCGATCCGATTCGATCAAAGTATGTGGCGGTGCTAGTAGTTTGCGCTGATTTCTAGAATATGTCGCGTGCCTGTTCGTTTGTGCGCGTGTCGCGCTGCCTGATTTTAGGTCTGGGGCGATGGATTTAGATATTTAGATGGGGAATGTGATGTGGGGTTTCAGGGTTGGTTATGACTGCGGGGTCTAGATTTGGAACGTCTGATTGATATATTTGCGTCTATGGCTTTTGTATATTCTTGTTGGGTTTGGTGCTGGATGATTGTCCCGTGGATCTACTGAAATTCCGCTCTTTCATAAGATGGGAATCCATCTAATTATCATTAATTTCATCAGGAACTGTCAAAGGTTCGGTTTTTATTTGGGCACACAATAGGTTTGGCTAGAATAGTTGTGCTGCTTGCACCTATGCATCATTATGTCAAAATTAAGCATTGATGACAAGTTGATCGTGATGGCATGTAGTACCTATACCTTAGGCATGTGATTTGTTAGCGAAGGATGATTCTAGATTGCGGCATTTTTTATACATAATACAGTAAAAAAAAATATCAGCCACATATATTTCTGATTTGGGCGAATAGATGCACAATACTCAAAGCTATGTTTTGATAGCTAATTTGATTTTAGCTGTGTGGACCTTAATTTCGTAACATATGTCAACAATATGCTGACACGAACTATGTCTTCTGCAGGCTAGGTCTTGTGGCTACTATTAAGGTAAGGAATCTGATGGCTACTTTCCATTGTGTTAAGCTGACTGCCAACATTTTTTTATATAGCTACATGGCTATACTTGCTTGTTAGTGCTAGCTGTGAGCCTGTGATCTACCATTTTTAGGTGCTGGTAGAGTGTGTCCTAATAATTGGCCTATTTGTACTGAAACCTATTATGATCTCTTTTTTGTATGCTCCCTTAATAGGAATATTTGTAGTTCATCAGATTACATGTTGATATTTTACAAAATTTAAGTGAGTGTATATGCTAAGGCTCCATTTGGATTGGAGGAATTCCAAAGGGAATTTGTATGAATCACAAAACCGAGGAAAGGAAATCAGGGCGTGCGATTGGAATACTGGAAGAGTCAATTCTTTTCCTTTGGAACACTGTAGGTAGATGCTCATTACACAGCACTGTTCACCTAAACGGCAGTTGGCCCATTTACACACTGTTTAAACGCTACACAGTGGTATGCCGTTTTTGTTTAATCGATCATTTATCCCGTTTAGGTGGCCGTTTAGCCCAAATAATGGCTAAACGGCAAGTGACCGACTGTTTATCGTTTGGGATAACATTACTTCAAAGGAAACCAAACATCCTCTCCGAGCTCTGGTTTTATTTTCCTTTGTTTTCCTTTGCGGATGCCTGAGACAGTGTGTACGAAGAAGAGAGGAGAGAATGAGGAAGCGCGTCACAACAAGCTGTCTGTCCCATCCTGATCTTGTCTCTTCCACTGCTGCCACCGTTCTAGGAACGACCGGAAGCAGGTAAAATGGGGAGTCAGAACGGAGAGCAGAAAGCTGGGCCGAGATTAGATTGGGGAAAGTGCATATTATGACTTTTTACCGTGTAGTGAATAGATAAGAACCATTGAAAGAAAAATATTTAATGAAATGGGTAAAGATGTTGCCTTTTACGTTGGTTTCCCATGTCATTTAGACTTATTTAATAATATATATTTACAACTTCCTTTAAACAATAAGTCAATAATACTCCACTTATTGTATTCTGATTCCTGCGTTCCAAACACCTGATTCTCCAACTTTCCTATCTTTTTCCATTCCTCTATTTTGCACCCTCATTCCTTTCCTATTCGTACATTTTCTACAGTTCCCGCGTTCCTCATTCCTACGTTCCAAACACACCCTAAGAGTAGGGATCTATGTTCTGTATGGTAGCCTTTCTTCTCTTTTTGAAGATAGATTACATGTTTAACACTTTCCTGAATACCCATTGTGTGATTGAACAGATTTCTGCTTCCTGTGTTCGATAGAACAATAACTTATAACTTAATTCAGGTAAATTACTGCTATGTAGTAATTATTTGTTTTGGTCTTTACTCTTCAAGGACCGAGCAAATGAAATCTACAAGAAAGTTGAAGATCTCAAGTCTATCAGGGGAAGAAATCAAGATGCCATATTAGCTGCATGTCTATATATTGCTTGTAGACAAGAAGATCGCCCTAGAACTGTGAAAGGTACATATTGTTCTTAGAAATTCTCTACTTCCTAGACACTAGAATTCATAACCATGCAACACTAAGTTCGTCTATTTTTCTTGTTTTGTGTTGGATTGTTGCAGAAATATGTTCAGTTGCTAATGGGGCCACAAAGAAAGAAATTGGCAGAGCAAAAGAATTTATAGTGAAACAATTGGAAGTTGAGATGGGGCAATCTATGGAGATGGGAACCATTCATGCTGGAGATTTTCTGGTATGTTTGCCCAAATTTATAGCTTCATTTTGTTGTTGGAGTTGGTAATTTCCTTAATTCTTAAATTGGTAGCTTATAAGCTGATAAAAACTGCAGAGGCGTTTCTGCTCAACTCTTGGGATGAACAATCAAGCTGTTAAGGCAGCCCAGGAGGCAGTTCAGCGCTCAGAGGAGCTTGATATAAGGTTTGTAATTTCAAATTCTGTACATGCTAGCAATTGCCCATTTCCACTTGATTGCAGTTAGGATCTGCTGTGGCATGAAAGTTTCTGTTTAGCTTCAAGATTGTTGCTTGTTTGTTTGATCTGCCTGTGGCTTTTGAACCACTGACTCTTAAATTCAAGCTTAGACCAATTTTAGGCAAATGACCTAATGGTTGTATGATCAGAGGAACTACTCATAATCAATTGCCGGCATGTTTAGTTTATGTGCCAGGCCACAACCACAACACAAAAATCTATTACAAGCCATGATTTGACTTACTGTTTCATTTGTATCATGTACGATGGACTTTTGACACCTAGACATGAGCATTTCTACTTGGTTGAATCTGTAGTTCACATTTCTGACAGAAAAAAGATATGTTGACACTTCCTTTTATCCTTCTGTGCAGGAGGAGCCCAATCTCAATTGCAGCCGCTGTCATATATATGATAACCCAACTCTCAGAGGACAAGAAGCCACTTAAAGGTTTGGAATGCTGCCCCATTGTGTATTTCCCTGCGACTGATATACAGGTAATAATACTGGAGAATCTGTTGCAGATATATCCTTGGCTACTGGTGTGGCAGAAGGCACCATCAGAAATTCGTACAAGGATCTGTATCCCTATGCCTCAAGGCTCATTCCGAATACCTACGCCAAGGAAGAAGACCTGAAGAATCTCTGCACACCTTAGGAAGCTTACCTTTTTTCCCCTTTTGTTACATAAATCGGAATTAGATTTGTCAAAGAGGAGTGAGTGAAGTTGTTCCTGGTTGTGACTGTACCGGGCAATATGTCGTCGCGGCCGCACTTAACTTTATGTGGATGGACCAATGAGAACAGAAGTTGTCCTCATCAGATCGAATTTCTTTTCAGAGCACCTACCACCTCAAGATTTGTGGGATAGCCAAGGTGTCGTTTTCGTATACTCCCTTGGGAAAAAAATGTAGATAGCAAGCAGTTCTTGGACAAGCACAAGATTTTAATTTAAAAACAGGATTCTGTTCTCCATCTTCTGAAGAAACCGTCATTTATCCATCTTCATTCTAAAGGCCCTTGGATACCAAGGGCTAATTGGTCGTTAGCTAGTGCATTCCAAGGGCCATTGGATACAAGGGCTAATCGTTAGTCAGCTAAAAATTAGGTAAAATTAGGTTTTTTTTCTAAATTATATGGTACAACGTAGACGTCCATGACATGCACGCACACTCACCCTATGAACATACGCATGTAAATCCTACCCCTATGAGCACTTCCGAAGAACTGAGCCGGCAGATCTCGAGATTCATGAAGTCACTATTGGCATCTCGTTGTCGACGGGGACGTCGCTTATCACTGAAAGCATAGCGCCGTTAAATCCTGAAATAAATCTAGGAAAATGCGAATACCAGTGCCAAGTCGAGTCATCGAGAACTTGAACCCGGATGGACATGTTTCACCACAAGGAACCTAACCAACTGACCTACGATCAGTTCGCAAAATTAGGGTCTATTTAGATAGATTAGGGATTGGTTAACAACTAGTTCATGATTAGTGGACTAATAATTAGTCTTAGGGCCTGTTTGGATAACCTTCTCTAAACTTTAGAGCTCTAAAAGTTTTAGAGCACTTTAGCTCATTTTTAAGCTGTAAAACTTTAATGTAAGTTTACAACCAACTTTAAACGCTTGTTTGGAGCTTTAGCTCTAAAGTTTAGAGAAGTAAATCCAAACAGGCCGTTAGTTTGCCTGTCTGGATTCTTGTGGACTAAAAATTAGTCAACTTCGAAACTGGATCTTAGTCTTAGCTCATCCAAACAAGGGACAAACTAAATTTTTAGCCAAGTTTTTAACTCATCGTTAGTCACCTAGCTGATCAATCCTAACTAACTCACCTAGTTGATCAATCCTAACTAACTGATCAATCCAGCTAATTTAGGGCGCGTTTAGTTCCAAAATTTTTTGTTTTTTCTCATCACATCGAATTTTTGGACGCATGCATGGAGCATTAAATATAGATGAAAAAAACTAATTGCACGGTTGGGTGAGAAATCGCGAGACGAAACTTTTGAACCTAATTAGTCCATAATTAGACACTAATTGCCAAATACAAATAAAAGTGCTACGATAGCCAATTTTCGCGAACTAAACATGCCCTTAAGTTAATTTTTAGTCCTAGCCAATAACTAGCTCTGACTGTCCTTAACTTTGCAGCTCTGACTATCCTTCCTTAACTTTGCAAGGGGGGAACATCGTTGTCCTAACTTTGCAAGGGGAAACATCGTGTGAACCTTTCGAAGAAAAGTCTCTGTTCATGTAGCCTTTGTCAGCCGTGGGCAGTGGGAAGGTTAACAGCTGCCGGTCATGCCGTACGTCATGTATGGTCGCCGGATCGCGCGGAACGGATCGATCCGGTAAAAAGGTTGTGGCCCTGGGAGAACCGCCGTTCAAGGGTAGGACGTGCTCCCGTTGTTGCAGCACAACGGAAGCGGCAGCGCAGCTGAGGACGTGCACGGTGCACTTGCCATTCGCGGCGGGTTCGGCGCGCAAGTGGGTGCCGCACTCATGGTGCTCTAGCTGGCGGCCCTTGGCAGCTTCACATGGGGCGCGCCCGCCGGGGGGCACTGTGGCCTGTGGATTGCCGAAGCCGTCCATGGCTGTCCGTCCTAGCAGAGCCGCGCACCGTCCATGCAAATAGCTCTTTGGCCACAAGCAGAGAACACCGGCAGTCACTGCCACTGCCAAGTGTGCTTCCATCATTTCTGGACTGAACGACTCAACATCGGCTCTTCTCTCACCAAGCTGCGATCGTGCACGATCACACGCAGTTTCTGTACACAATCAAGGCACTTATCATTTCTACTACAACTTGTACTTGAAGTATTTAGGCATAAAAAAGGCACTTATCATTCTCCTCGACTGTCAACAATTTTTTTCCATAGAAAAGGACTCACAGCACAATATTCCCAACGTACATCGCTCACGTACAACGGTACAACTGAACTCCCGTCACGTACAGGTCTACGAGAACAAAAAAAGATGACGACATCTTGCATTATTTTCTGTTTCCGTGCTGCAAATCAGCAAAACCAGGAGGTGACGGCGCACAATCACATTCACACGGTGCACCTCCGACAATCACAGGGCGCGTCAGGCAGCAACTTTCTTTGCAGTCACTGAGTTGACAATGGTGGCGAAATCCGGTGCCTGCCAAAACCAAGAAATTTGTTAACAGATCATTGATTATTATATAGCAGGCTAGGTACACTGATGGTTCAAAAATTTTGACAGCTTCTTGAAGGTTTTGTAAACTATATGCTGCATACGGAGTGGAGAGATCAAATAACATAATCAGCCTTATTTAACACAAGGCAGCAAAACATTGCAAGTAGATGATTTTAAACCTACTATTTAACAGCGATCAATATACATAGTCCTGTTTAAACACCATTGAGATTTGGAAGTGCGTAATGAAATTTGCAAGAGGAGTTTTAAGAGCTACAAACAGCAGCCACTGACAATAGACAATAGAGGTTACAGAACAAAGGAGATTATGTACAAAGATCTGAGGTTAATTTGTCATACCTTCAAGGAGGCACCACCAACAAGAAAACCATCAATATCTTCTTTCTTTGCTAGCTCTGCGCAATTGGCTGCATTCACAGAACCTGCAACACAAGCAAAGGAGGATGGTCACATCATAGAGCCAGTAAGTCATGTTAAACACCCCACAACACTGGAATAAAATTTAACGGAACATCTGCCGAGATATTTAAGCTTATGAATTAACGTCTCTCATAGTAATTTAGTAAACCGCAGTTCCAAGTTCAATCTTTCCATTATCAAATTTAATGGAAAAGAAAAATGAGAAGCACACTATCCTGACATAGCGATATGAGTATATGACATGAGAAACTAACCTCCATAGATTATTCGAGTGCTAGAGGCAACTTCAGGTGATACGTTGGTCTTCAACCAATCGCGTACAGCGGCATGAACTTCCTGGGCCTGCTCAGGAGTAGCAACTTTTCCAGTTCCAATAGCCCAAACAGGCTCATATGCAATTACAACATCGGCCCAATTTGAAATACTATCTGCAAGCAGATACATGTCACATATGCATCAACACAAGCAAAATCAATGCCTCCCAACTTCTTCTCTAGAACACCCATAAAAAAGGTTTGTTAGATGAAGAAATTTTACCTGCAAAAGCCTTCATCTGCTTAAAACATACATCAAAAGTTTTCCCTGCTTCCCTCTCTTCCAGCAGCTCTCCTATGCAGGCAATAAGCTTAACATTTTGGCTCAATGCATATGCAGCCTTCTTCCCAATAAACTGCATTTGCACAACTTGTTATATTGCAATAAAAAACTATGTTTCTGGAAGTGTCAAACCAGTAGCATATGCACAGAAAATAATCACCTCGTCATCTTCACCAATAATATGCCTACGCTCAGAGTGTCCAAGAATAACCCATTGAACACCGATGTCCACCAATTGTTCTGCACTGTAATTTTTTAAGGGAAAGATAAAGGTTCTATTAGCAAAGCCAGAAGTGAAAAAATAAACTCCTAATCCATTGTTACCTATTTATCCAAAGTCCATCCAGGAAAACCAACAGACTGCTGGTTTTATAACCACTTTACAGCTAGTTGCAATCTCCATGTATATACTTAGCAAAGAAAAGGGTGACCAGTGTCCAGTGTACCCAACCTGATCTCTCCGGTGTAGGCTCCTCCTTTTCCAATCCACACATTCTGAGCAGAAACCTCAATGCGACCAGTTAGTGAATTCTTGACCTGATCGATATAGATGAATGGAGGTGCCACCACAACATCTGTAGAATTGCATAATGCCACACATTAGTTTGATTGCTTTATTCAGCAAGAAACAAGCAGCAAAGTGGCATAGAATTTCTTAGATAATTCTCTCTACTATACGAGTTTCCAACCCAAGATATTAGGTCCTGGTTATAATTTGGAGCCCATAAGCAGAATCCCATCTATAAAAAAAAGGGTCCCGCTCTGTGCAGGGTCTGGGGAAGGGTGTTAGTGGCAAGCCTTACCCTCGCCTGTGCAATGCGAGGAGACCGCGACTCGAACCCGGGACCTTCTGGTCACAGGCGGTAAGACTCTACCGCTTGCACCAGGCCCGCCCTTCAGAATCCCATCTATACTGCCAAAGAATAAATAAATAAATTGTTCCTATAGTTGGACTTGCAGAACCCGAGATAGACACTTTCTATTCAAGAGAAGAGCCTGCTACAAACATGGAAGAAGTGTTTCCAGGCCACATGGTACTCATACAGGATGCAGGTAGCTCATATGCTTAAGTTTCTTACAGTTACATAAAAGGCTTTCAGGAAAGTCACTAGCAAATCTTATTAGGAGCATTAAGCAAACATTTTTCCTGGCAGTTTTTTCTATGAGCCAACTATCCAAACATCGAATTAGCAATGGATTTACACTTTAGTAGATAGCCTTGTACATCACACAAAGAAAATAAGTGATATATTAGTAAATGCAAATATTCAGTAAGGTATCTGTATTAACAAAACATTTATGGGAACCTATGTGGAACAGGAAAACATAAGAATACCAATCAGATGCATGCACCAAATGGGAATATCCTAGAAAGAGGAAGACTAGGATATGTTAAGATGAAACAAATAGGCTTACCTACATCAGTTTCGAGTGTAGCAGCATTCAATTCAGAGACAAGCTTGCTAATGGAGTCCTTTGTTCCATTCTGAAGAAGAGGGAAAAGAAACAGACATCAACACCACAAATTCTAAGATGAGTAACTAAATAAACCAAGGAATGTAACTTAATGTTGGCAGCAAAAGCTCATGAAGTGAAGAGGCTTCGTATATGAAATAAGTTTTTTCTTCAAAACAAATAAGCCATGTTCGCTAATCCAAAGATGAAGCCCAAAAATGAATTTACAAATTTGAAGCTTGATTTTGGGCCGATGAAACTTGCAGACCCATTACTAATAAACAACCACAACTCAAAACTTCACAACATAAAAAAAAATCCACCATTTCACTACATCGCCTAGCCTCCGTCCAGGCCTCTCAAAGCTTAGCAAACACTCAAACAGGATCAAGAAAGGGCCTCTGTATCCTCAGCTAAAAGTTTTCAAATAAAGGTGAAAGATACAACATCAACTTTTATATACCTCCCTTTCAAAAAAAAAAAAAATCACAACTTTTATAACGGCTTTGGCAGGCCAAGCTGGGCAGCAGACAAGCGATTCTATTTCTAGAAGTGGCCATGTACGGAGTAAGGGGGTGTTTGGAACTGCTCCACTCCACAAACTCCACCGTGGAGCAGCTCCACGAAAAACTGGAGTTTGTGGAATACCTCTTTAGGTGCTCTCACAACTCCACCCTTTTTCCTGGAGCAGAGTGCGTGGAGCTAAAACCGTTTGGCTAAAAAACGTAAAAAACGTGGAGCGAATCAGTACCAAACACGCCCTAAATCACGATGTATGTATGGATGACGACAAAAAATCTCGTTCCGGTCCCGTTGGAATGCCCAATGCGGCAACAGCCACAAAATCATACAGTAACACAGCATCTCCAGGATCATCAGTACTGACACCCCAAGGCGCGAAAAGCTGGAGAAGCAGAACAAGCACTTACGCACTTCCAGTTGCCTCCGACGAAGAACTGCAAAGCAGAGTCAAGCGGGAGCATGAGCGCAGAAATCACATGGGCAGATTAAACATGGCTGGTCAAAGAGCGGCGGCGGCGGCGCACCTTGCCGGATCCAGCCATGGCGACGACGCGCTGGGCGCGGCGGCGCGAACAGCCGATGCGAAGCTGCTGTGGGACGGCGGGAATGGCCACCGCCGCGGCGCGGCGGAGGTCAGCTACGCGGGAGAGGTGGGAGGACGCGAGGGACGACGGCGCCGCGGCCATTCTCAGTCTCGCTGCGGCGGTAGGTGGGGGAAACTGGCGAGGAGGAGGCGAGGCGAGGCTCGGGACTGGCAGGTGGCAGCCGTCCTCGTTCGCGAGGAGGGAATATGGGATGCTGCGGGCAGCCGCAAGCCCGCAACCACCGGACACGGGGAAAGGGCCAGGGGTGGGGTAGGCGAGGGACAGCGACCCGTGCGCGAGTCCGGGGCAACGGCTTTTTGTATGGCCGACCACTCGCCTTATCGGCCCACGGATAGGGCACCAAGGGCCCCGGATCCTGCCACGTTCCGCCGCTGCCGCGACTGGGCGGAGATACCAGGGCCAGCTGGGCCGGCCCAGCTGGAGAGCGACTGGCGAGCGCGCAAGGTCCTGGTCCAGCCCTTGGAAAGTTGTAATTCCTCGTTTCCTCCCTGGATGGATCCAGTGCGTGTGCGTCAGTGTGCACGTATACCGTTACCACTACCGGCTGGGGTTGGAGAGACATTTCCGTAATACCGTTACCGTGGGTCCCAGGGAGCCGGAACACATGCGGTTCTCGACGACGGTGATACCCGGACGCGGGCAGCGCTTGTGTCACTCACCTCGCACCTGTCTCTATTTTCGTTTTCTTTTACTCCTTTTTAGTTCCTCAATAATTTTGTGACTTTCTAGCGCTTCCTTTCTACTTTTTATTGCCTTTTAATATTGATATATTCATTCAGTGGGGGCTCCTTGCCCCTCCTGTTCCCTTCAACAAAAAATCGATCGAGATGACATTAGCAGAGGAGGAAGACATCAGCAGAGGTTTACATGCCGAGTCCAACGATGCATGTTAGTTGTATGCCTCAAGCTCCAACAAAGCATCTAAACATCAGATAGCCCTGTTTTTCAGCAGTACTTCAACAGTACTTTTCAGCGAATGAACAATGTTTTTCTCTCACAATAAATCAGCAGCAGCAGCCAAATTTCAGCGAGCCGAACAGGGCTGCAGGAGCAGTAGCTGCTTCATCTGACGAAAAGCGAAGGCCACCGTTGAAGCAAGTTTTGTATCTGAAAGCATGTGAATTTTACATAGGCAAGATGGACAGCATAGCAGAGTAAACAATTTAGTACTAGTACCTTAATTGTGACCTTAGGGCATCCGGAGTTTATACTACTGATGCAGACCCTAAGTAGGCCCCACAGAGTCTATAGGCCAATGCTAGTATGTTTAAGGGCATTCCTAGTTAGTTCCGTAAGAATTCTATTTGCTATCAAGGACACATCAAATAGCTTGTGGCTCACAAATAGCTAGTTTAGCACGATGTCCCAGAAACAACTCTCTCCCAGCTGACATAATCCTCCACTATAGTGTTTTTTTTTCTAAGCTTCATCTACCTAGTTATTAGCAATTTGTCATTAAGGACACCCTAAGGCCTCCATCAGTCTTTAGATGGATCCCGCTCTAAGATAAAAAAAAATGCCATCAGCCATTCCCCACCTAGGCCACTTTGCTTCTCCGCCGTTGCTTGGTTGGCTGAGGCCCGATCTGATTTTTTAATCGCTACTAAGATCGGGCTTCAAGCTTAGGGGCCGATTCTAACCTTTTTGTCTTGAGGTCGGTGGCCACTATGTGTACCATGTAAGGTCGACCATAACAATTAACAATGCCAGCTCTACACAGTTCAGATGCCCTTAGGTGTTCAAGCAGTACTCTACGTGAAACTGAGATCACTAGTGCCCCTCAAAAAAAAAAAAAAAAAAAGGCCTACCGCCTACGTTGCCCTTGCCCTGAGTCATTGACCGAGATGACATTAGAAGAGGAAAAGATCATTATGGCCAAAGGTTTACACTGCTAGAGTTTTTCCCCGTACACATAGAGGTGCGCGTACTCAACTTGTTAGATGGACTGGAGGGAGTCCAACGGCAACAACTTCCAAACAGTTCGCAGCTGTGAGATGGACAATTGCTCCAGTTAAAGACCTCTCTCAACAAGCACGTCTTACAATTAAAGAATGGGATCACACATGTAGCCAAGCAAACAGGAGCCTGGTAGAGCTACAGGTATCAAACTTTTGCTTCAAAAAATATTTAATGTTGCATCTTGCTACAAAAAAGTATCCAGTAACATCCTCTATTCCTCTAGAGATCAGGATTCACGATCACCATAAGCAATCAAGTATTACGTTGCAAGAAACATCTTCAACATATGAGCATGGTGTGGTATGACATCCTGAATCCTGTGGGAGAAAGGAAGTCTTTCCTAGTTGACTAGCTCCGGAGTCAGGATGGATGCCTAGCAAAAGAGCACTGAAACTTCATACCGCAAGCCCATCCTTCTAGTTCGCACTCTCCAATTGTTTGTTATCTTTTTTGCCCCTCTTCCGCTTCCGAACCCTCTTTCTCTTCGCCTCGCCATCAGCCGTAGCTACCTGCAGAACAGATGTTGTGATCAGTGCTTGTGGGTCCTGATACAACTGAAAACGAGAGGCACAGCAAAGTTTTAACACTGTTGGACCTAATAATAAATTACAAATGTTTAGTTATATTACATTTAGTCTCTGAACATACATCAGAGATCTGACAGAACAAAACCTGATGTTACAAAATGACGAGAGGTACTTATGATGCACGTGCCACATTACCAAAGAATACCTGATTTTGAATAGCTGTGGGGAGCTTTGGTTTCTTCTTCTTACAGGAGAGTGGGTTAGGACCCTGCATAATGATACTTGTAAACATTTAATACAAGAAATAGATATAGAGTAGTGAACTCAGTTGCTGCTGATGCCTACTAGATAACAAAGACTGAATATAGTCAATCACATGACAAGAGATACCAAAAAGGCAATGACTCTAAACATAACCTTTGCTTTGTTCCTTTTAAACTTGCTTTTGTCAGTAACAACAAGAGAATTTTTTACAAGAGAACTGATAGGCCTCTCATGTTGTTCTCCATCACTTCCATTTTCACTGGCAGCTGTCTTTCCTTCTGATGCAGCCTTCAGTAACTTCTTGTATTCAGATATATCCATATTGAGACGCTTCTCCTCATCCAATTGAGCAAACTTGCGTTGCTGCACAGAGGGTTGTTCTATGAATAAGGAGTTCTTCAGACCATATATCAGAGGAACCCCAGGAATCTACATGGAAGCAGACAAAGTACATGAGCAAATTGCTGCGACCCAGACAAGGTCATAGATATGATCCACATGATTTTCTTAAAAAGAAGTAGAGTTTACACACGACAGATGGCGGTTGTGGATACCTCTCGTAACTTTTCTCGAAGACCAGGATCCTGGGTGGCAACGAAGAAATGCTCAGGATTTTTATCACCTATCAGTGACATGACACAGTTCACGGCACTGACCACCTTGTCATGCTCACACCTGGTAACACCATGAAATCCACGAAAACACTAAGTCAATGCATCATAATTAGGCTCATATGATAGAAATCAAGCTCATATAGGTCCCATATGCAAAATTCAAGCTGGGGATGAAAGACCACATTCGAGAATGGCACAAAACTAAACACACCAGCTACTACATTGTAATGTTAAGCCAGTGATGTACGTCATCACACCTAAAACAAGTGAACAGGCCCTGGGCCAAACAATGGCTACAAAAATGCATCCTGAAGTGATCCAAATTCCAACTGCAGCATAGGTTCCACTTCCAGACAACCAAATTCGATTGAACCCAATTGGCTACTCAGACTCCAAGATAGCATGCAAGAACTATAATTTGGTTATCTGAAGTATGAACTTGGTAACTATGTTCATCGAGTACATTTCTGAATTGAACGATGTTCTAGGTTTTTCTTTGGCTTTGACAAAATCAAATTAATACCACCGAGCCTCACGGCAATACAAGTGCCGGAGCACAAATCAAGCGGTGAATTTTAAGCCAGGCAGCAACAGGATTAAGTCAAGGTGGAGCACAATTGGAGGTTTGGGGCTGACAAAAAGGAAAGAATGGTACTAGCTGCAACTGCAACGGTGACAGAACTGTGAAAAGAAGGAAACCTACTTGGTTGTGGTGAGCAGCTGCGCGTTGTCGAAGGATTCGGCATGTGACTTGCCGAGTCGCCTGAGCTCTGCGTTGATGCACTTGGAGGTGAACAGGGCTGGCGTCCTGGAGGCAGAGAGGAGGTCTCGGAGAGCCTCGTCGGCCGGGAGGAGGCGCTGGGTGAGGAGGTGGTGGACGAAGGTACCGTCGATGAGGACCTTGTAAGGCTCGCGGAAGCCGAAGCAGGTGGTGTAGAACTTGACCGCTTTGCGGTTCTTTGATCGCTTCTTCACCCGCATCCTGATTACTGGGTGGGCGGCGGCAGCGACGGGAGGGCGGAGCCGCGGAGGAGACGGCGGGCGGCGTTAACTGGAGAGTGGAGGCGGTGGTGAACGGGCAGGAAAGTAAGCCGAGCTAGGGCTTTGGTTCATCACGCGGCTCCTCTGCTTGCTGGGCTGAACTGCGCCCCGTGGAATCAGCGATGATAAAGCCCACTTTATGTCTCTGACCAACAATCACATTTATCTGATAGGCCAAAAGGTTTGGTGGGCTTTTAAATTGGCCCGAATTAATACCGCTCCTAGTAGGAGTAGTAATTCCCCTAAAAAAAGTAGTAGTAATAATATTATATACACCATTTTATTTCCTCAAAAAATACACCATTTTATATATCTATATACATCTATGCTTAATATTAAAGAGAAAAGTGATTCTTTTGGCAAATTTTTATTTCTCAAAGTGCCGTCACGTAACTCTTGATCCATAGTTAGTCTAGACTCACGACGTACTCATACGAGTTAGAAATATGTGGCAAACAGCTGTATGGAGTCCTATTCCAATTTCCAACCCTGACCCACCTAACTAAACATGAAACAAATTCATTCTATTCGAAAATGGAAAATCAGGGATGGATTTAATCTATCTCACGAAGTCTTGTAAACCAAACGCATGCTTAGTTCATGGACCCATATGAAAATAAGCCAAGGTGTATTTCGCTGATCTTCATATATCTGTCACACAAACTGAGTTCTCTATCCCAAATCTAGGCCTTAGTAGCCATGTCCTCGAAAGGAAACGGGAACATGGAGTCCTACTTACGATAGTGTTTTTTTTTACCGTAGGAATGTTAATGTTCCCAAAAAGAGGGACGTAGGTATGTTTCACGTTTCTGTATGCTAAGAGCATCTCCAATACTCTCCAAAACTCACTCACAATTTTGATTCTTTTGGCTAGAATAACCCCCCTCTGCAATAACTCCTTATTTCAAGTTTTCAACTCCTAATATTTCCATACTTGAGAAAATCTTTCCAATAGTGCGAAAATAAGTGGAAGCATGTGGGGAAGAATTAGACCTGAGCATTTTTGGACCTGAGCCATGACGAAAAAAATCCCGACTATTTCGAGTTGAAAAAAAAATCATGTCCACGTCCCATGGGTGGGTCACCGGTAGTTTTTTAGTTGGAAAAAAGATAAAAGAAATACTCCGGGCCAAGTTAGCCGAGAAAAAAATTTCTGGACAGCTGGACCTCTGTCAAGACCCTGTTCACTAAGGCTCGTGGGCAAACCAAAACCCACCGGTCTCGAGTGGGGCTCAAATTGCTCAGGTCTAGGAAGAGTAAGGACATGGTTCATGATGCAAAGTGTATAAGAGAGAAAGAAAATACAAAAATGGTTAGGGCCAATTAGGAAATAGCTGAATTTTTTGATGCAAAATTGCCTTCTTTCTAGGAGTAAGATTTTAGAAACAGTTAGAAAAATCCAACAAAATAGATCTTAACTTTGTTTAGCCACTTATTGAAAAACTCATTGATTTACCAATTTTTTTTGAAACAATTGGAGATGGCCGTTTTTAGTTTGGCACGAATCACAAAGTTGGCACTAGCAGCAGAATGTGCAAGATTCTTTTTGTTTTTTGATCGGGTACAAAGAATGTGCAAGATTCTACCGGAGCTCAACCTTTTCCCAACGAGAATTCTGAAATCAATATTTAGGCACATGAATGACACGTCGGTCCAAACACATATTCCCCACAGGTCGGTGACATGATCTTTCAGTCCGAGTAGGTGAACACTCACCCGTTCCGTGGTGACGTCGTACGGCGTACTCATTCCAGGTCGCACAGCCAGCAACACACGGTCTGTACCACAGATGAACACCCTTCTCTTACTGACGAGTGGCGCCAGGAGACCTCGGGCCCAAAGTGTCAGAGACTAACACCAACCGAGCCGCAATCGAGTCGGTTCCGAGGCCCTACGTGATTAGCTTAACCAGAGCTCCGGTTTAAACCGAAACCACACTGCTAATCGGCCATCAGTTTACACAAAACGCAAGATCGACCACCGCGTCGCCTCCCGGGCTGGGGGGCTTAACTCGAGTCGCTAATCCTTTTCCTCGTATCGCCCCGTCTCCAACCTCGCTCGCCGCCATGGAAGGTTCGAAGGGGAGCGGAGGTGGCGGGGACGGGGCCGGGCCCGAAAAGCCAAGCGCCGAGTCGAACCCTAGCCTGAATCCGCCCCCACCTACCGCGGCGGCTGTCGAAGCCACGGACAACGGTGGCGCCGCGGCCGCGGCCGCGGCTGCGGCCGAGGCGGCCAGGCGGCCCTTCACGGCCCTCAGCCAGGAGGAGGCTGACCTCGCCCTCGCCCGCGTCCTGCAGGAGCAGGTAAGCGACAACGAGATCTCGCGGCCTCGGGGCCGCTCCTGGGGTTCCTTGCCCCCGGCGATTAACCCGTGCCTTCGGATCGGTGCAGGAGCGGGCGTACATGTTGCTCCGGATGAACGGGGGCGGTGGCGAAGGCAGCGAATATGGGAGCTCTGATGCAGGGAGCTACGAGTACGAGGAAGAGGGAGAGGAGGACTACGAAGAGGAACTGGAGCACCACCTCCGCGTCCACCACCACGGGCACCCCTCGGGCGAGGGTGAGGGAGAGGGAGAGGGCGAGGGCGAGGGCGCCGAGGGGAGCGACTACGACGAAGAGTTCGAGGAGGACGAAGAAGGGGAGCCGGAGGTAGATCCCGCGGAGTTTGAGGACGATGAGGCTTATGCGCGTGCGCTGCAGGATGCTGAGGAGCGTGAGGTCGCCGCACGGCTTATGGCTCTGGCTGGTCTCAGCGATTGTGAGCACAAATGATTCATTGCCCCCAACCCCAGCTCAGTTCACAATTTAGTTGGTTGCTGGTTTGTAATTTTGGCTTTCCGTTGCAGGGCGGACAGTGGATGTGGAGCATGAGGAGGACCATGTGAATGATCCACAGGTTGTGATTCATCTCATATAGTTGATGAATTTTACCTTTTTTTTTGTTAGGGGAAATCACTTGAGTTTGCAATTAATGGTCTTATAAGAAACAAAATGCCATAGTGTCCTCTTTGTTAATTTCTGTGCATGCAAACTAGTGGAGTTGTTCTTTGATCAATGCAACATGCATTATGTTTCAGCATGATTTGTGCCATAGTTTATTGATTCAGCTAAAATAATTTTGACTTGTTGGTTATTGATACCATAATACTTTCCTCTGATAGATTGTTGACGTTATTTCCTACCTGGAACACATCTACTCTTTTTTCTTTCTAAATTGATGCATTTTGATTGTACAGATTCTAGGGGTCTGCCTTGTGTCCTTGTCTTTTTTAGTGAAGGGAATATCAGTTACTCGTTTATATGTTAGTTAATTGTATTTCTCACTTATTAAAATGAAATGATGTTGCAGTGTGAGTGGCGGTTTAAATGTTGATTGTAAATAGAACCACACTAGAATAATGCCTCTTTGGAAGTGGTCCTGGAGACATGCGTAGTCTTTATATCTTGGCCATTTAAAGAGCTGTCTATATGTGCATGAATTTCCTTCATGATGTTTTTGTTCTATCAAAAATTACTATGGATTCAATGCTATTAAGTTAGATTGCATTTATTTTTTCTAGTTTGGCTTCAACTGTAAATGATATTTTTTCTCACAGTTAGATTTGTAGTTCAGGATCTAAATAAGGAGTCATATCTACTTTCGATGTTTTACAGTTTTAGTTATGATTGGGTTTTCCTTTAGTAAGCTTGAATTATCTGCCCTTCTAGCAATGAAATCCAGAAGCAAAGTCTATAATTTTTTTTATTACTAGTCAGGTACTACTATTGTCCTCAGTCCTCTAGGGATGGTTGGCATATTTCCCAATTATTCCTACTGTTTTTATATAGGGGAAATTTATGTCATTGTTCACATGTTGGTCTTAGTTTCTTTCGTACTTGTTTATAATCAGTCAACTATAATGAATGATAAACAACTTAAACTTCTGTATGCTTTTATGAAAACCCAGGAGGCATGGCAAGAGGTTGATCCAGACGAGTACTCTTATGAGGCAAGTTACATTGCTTGTTGTCTATCCTTAGTTCTCCAAGCCCCTCATTTGAAGCTTCATACATCAGTATGTCATGTTAATGGTTCTCATGTTGATATCAGGAGCTAGTCGCATTGGGTGAAGTAGTTGGCACAGAAAACAGAGGTCTCTCTGCTGATACACTTGCTTCTTTACCTTCAGTAACATACAAGATGCAAGATGTTCAGGATGGCAACACAGAGCAGTATGTGCAAATAATTGAAGTTTTATAGTTTTGTAATGATCTATGTTCTGTATATGAAATCCTGATGTATCATTATTGTTGATAGATGCGTAATTTGCCGTGTGGAATTGGAGGAGGGTGAATCTTTGATCGCACTTCCCTGCAAGCACTTGTACCATCCTGAATGCATAAACCAGTGGCTGCAAATAAATAAGGTATGATGGACCTTCTTAAGCTCCACATAGTTGAATGGTTAGAAAGTTCATTTCATTAACTCGTTGGTCCTTAAATACTATTGTGATTCTGTGAAGTATCTCAGACTGTCACACACGCATGTACCTGAAGGAGGAATGTTTTCATCACAACTAGTCTGTATAGTATACTGTGTTTGGTAACTTCTAGTCAAAATAGAAAGCTTAAGATTTTTCTGTGGGCCGCTAGGCAGGCTATTTGTCAACTGCTGTTGTTCTTCTTATTCTAGTTTTACAGCTGTGTTTAGTTCATCATTTTTTTCCTTAAAAAAATTTGGCTGCATATAAAACATAGAATGTCAATGGTATTGAGGGTCGCAGTAACAGGGCAGCAATCCATACATTTGAAGTAAGAATATTCTGTTATTTGCTTGACATAGTCCCTAGATTTGTAATCGCGGTCAAGATGTCTGGTGCCATTACATTGTATCAGACTGAAGTTGTGAGCCTTCTAGTCGTAATGGAGCCTACGATGTTCTGTCATGGTCTAGTGATGTTTTGGTTAGCTGACGTTCCGTCATGTTGACATGCGGATTCATGTAATTTTGTTGTTGTGGTAATGAAATTTGGGTACGCCATGTGGTGGGGGAAAAAGAAGATTTGAAAGCTTAGCAAATCAACAAACCTTGGAAGCTGGTATGCTCACCAATGGACACTTGGGGATATATTATCTAGGTTTTGCATGATGTTTATAGATAAAATACCTCTATACTTTTGTATGTTCAGCCACATTAATCTTGGGTAGATTTGGATGTTAGTTAAATATATCCTTGCTCTTTTTGAGTATAAGAGTAGTTCAGCAACCTTTTGTTCCTAAATCAGTCCAGTCTGTTAAAGCTTTAATGTCTTTCTATTAGTGTTTTAGTAGTAGTAGCATCATTATTGCCTGCGACTGGTTTCTCTTTATTTAATCAGTATTGAGTTGTGATACTCTTAAGTTGATCAAGATTATAAAGTTTTATTTATCTATTGAGGCTGGCAAAACTGCTGTAACTGCTGCACAGCTGTAGTCAGGTCAAGTCTGATGATGATGATGGTCTGCTTGACTCCTGTTATCTTACTGTCTGGCACAGTGACTAGCTATAGGCTATAGCTGTATTCACTATTCATATTGTCAGTCCATTTCAGCATTCCTACTATAGCAGATTATGCTATGTGGATCCTTATCTTGCAAAGTAATAGGTTGGAGGTGTATACATATTCTTAGTATATATTTCAGCGTTCCTGCAGGCTGATCATGCCATGTCGATCCCTACCTTGAAAAGTAACTTCTATTATGCACACCACCTGGCTTGAGTTAATTTGAACATGTTTTTCCAATCAACATGATGTGGATACTTCTAAACAACAGTTTTCGTTGCTCCAAAATGTGACAAAATGCCCCCCCTGATTCTTGCAGGTATGCCCTATGTGCAGTGCAGAAGTATCAACCTCGGGCAACAAGGAGCCATGACTGCTCTCAGATGGCCATCTTGGGCACTTGATGGGAATAAATAGTGGCATCACTGCAGCATCTGTATTGTCGAAACAAAAGCAGAACGTTTTACATACATGCAAGGAGATCAGGAAATAATCCTCTTGTCAGTCAAAAGTTTTGTCCTGGTTCTCTGCTCACTGGATTTATTGGCCCTGCCGCTTATGGTCTCAGTTCCCTTCGGACGCCTTATGGCTGTTGTATGATCCACAAGATATGCCAATTATATTATATTATATTGTTAGTCATTCTTTTTACTGATCGCATGATCATCGTATATATTTGCTTGTTTTTTTTTTTTTTGAGGAATCAGGAGGAGCCAGAGGCTCCTACTGTAATTTATTAAACAAAACAGAACAGAGTGACAGAATTACAGGAAAAAAGACAGAGAAAGCTACAAACTCCCATACGAGGAGAAGAAAAAAATCCAAAAGATTACAAGTTGTAGTTTATCCATGATTCAAGCAAGGGGTGATTCTAGCCTTTGTTCTGTGCAATAAGAGGAGGGATTCCAACGTGACCACCCTTTTGCAGTCTTCTACTGATGGCTTTTTGTTTCAAAAGATAACATCATTTCCCATCGATCATATGGCCCAGCAAATCAAAAAGAAAATGTCAAGTGCGAAGCTAACATTCTGTAGAGTTTTCCATTCTTGAAAGATCTGGGGTATTGTGAGTTGATCAGCATACTGAAAATCCCAGACACCCCAGCAGTCTTTAGCAAATGGACAGTAAAAGAGAAGGTGCATTATTGTTTCTTCAGGAGGTTGCTGACAGTGCACACAATGATAATCATCCAAATGCATCCTTCTTCTCAGCATGTTTCTTCTACTCAGCCTATCTTTCAGGACTAGCCAAAAAAATACTTTGTGCTTGCTCTGGCATGAAGTCTTCCAGAGCCATTTGTAGATAGGGTCAACTTGTGAATGACCTGTTAGCACTTTATATGCCTTAAGGTAGAGAACTGAGAGGAACCCCAAATAAATGTCCATCTGTCATCCTCTGTCTCAATCACTAGACCTGAGAGTTTAGCCTGAAGTTCCTGCATCTGATGGTAAGCTTCTACTGATAATGGCAAGTGAAATAAGTCATGGAGAGCCTCAGCTTCACATACAGTGCTTAGACCGGTCCTTTTGTTTTTCGCAAATGAATGGAGTTCAGGGTACTGAATCCTTCTTACTTGGCTGTTCCAAACATCATCCTAGAAAAGGCAGGTTTTGCCATTAGCAACCAACACACTTGCCATACCTTTGAACTTTTCCGGTAGCTTCAAAATATCACGCCACCAGAAAGATCCCCCAGGGGTTGTGGAGTTTGGCAATTTGTCATTTCTATAATGCTTATCCCAAATAAGCTTTATCCATAGCAGATCTCTTTTGTTGAAAAAATTATCCAGGTGCTTGAGTAGGAGGGCTTCATTCTGAGTTTGAATGTTCAAAACACCTAGACCACCTTCACATTTTGGTATACATACCATGGGCCATCAACCTTCGCCATTTTCCATGCATTCTCTTCTGCACCTCTCCTGTACTTGTCAATCTGTTTAATCACAGTTTTTGGCAAAGCAATAGAGCACATTGTGTAAGTTGGGAGAGCTATTAAGACTGAGTTGGTGATTTCAAGCCTGCCAGCCTGACTGAGAAAGGGTGATACATAATTCAACGTTCTCTCACATTTGCTGATTAATGGAAGAAAATCATCTACTTTTGGTCTGCTAAGGCCCATGGGCAGACCAAGGTAGGTGAAAGGAAAGGAACTAGTTGCACATCCAAAGGTTCTAGCAAGATGGTTCAATTTTTCATTGCTCAAATTTATGGGCACCATCATTGACTTGGAGAAATTGATCTTCAGGCCTATTGAGTCACTAAAGGATTACAGTATACCTTTCAGAAAGAAGAGCTGAGTAGCAGAAGCTTCCATGACAATCAGGGTATCATCTGCATATTGGATGATGGGGAAATCCAAGGTTGGGGCTGGAATTGGTAGTCTTAAGTGACCAAGTTGAGTTGCCTTGTTGATGATGGATTGGAGCAAATCAACTGCTAAAACAAAAAGTAGTGGGGACAGAGGGTCCCCTTGCCTTACACCTCTCTTGCAGTTAAAAGTTTTGCATGGGACTCCATTTAATAATACAACAGATGTACCAGAGTTGAGGATGGATTCAATCCATGATCTCTATTGTGTATCAAAACCCTTAGATCACCTTATGTTCTATTTTATCAAAAGCTTTTTCAAAATCTAGCTTCAAAACCACAATTTTCTTTTTTGAATGGTGACACAGGTGAAGGTATTCAAAGGATCATGCAATGCAGTCCTGGATGGTCCTTGTCCTGATGAAGCCATACTGATTTTGGTGTACTAGTTGAAGGATCACACCTTGCAATCTATTAGCTAGAAGCTTTGTGATAAGCTTAATAGAACAGTTAAGCAATGAAATTGGTCTGAAATCTCCCACTTGTTGTGCACCATCAATTTTGGGGACTAGGGTTATGAAGGAATCATTTATGCTATGGAGACAAACTGAGTTGTTTTGGAAGGCAAAGCAGAGTTCATAGAAATCTTCTTTGATGAAATGCCAGCACTTCTTGATGAATTCATTGTTGAATCCATCTGGGCTAGGAACTTTATCATTGGGAAGATTTTTCACCAGTGCATCTATTTCTACTCTAGTAAAAGGTTCCTCTAGGCATCCAAGCTCTGTATTGTTTTCTAGGAGTGAGCTGAGATGAGATTAAAGGTAATTGCCTCAAATTCAGATTGTCCTAGTCTTTCATTAAAAGCCTCCCAGAGAACATCTGTTTTGTCTAAATGATTGTGAACCACCTCACCATTTGGCTTTTGCAATTCATCTACCAGGTTGTTTCTGTGTTTGATTGTTGCAGTTACATGAAAAAGCTTGGTTCCAGCATCCCCTTGCTTAACCCATCTGATTTTACTTCTTTGCCTCCAATAGACTTTCTGTTGCTCTAGAAGCTGCTATAATTTCTCAGCAGTGACCTGTTTAAAGTTCCATTCCAAAACTGTCAAATCTCTGAACTCTTCAAAAGTTTCTAGAAGGGAGAGGATGATCTTGATCTGACTAAGATTTTTCTTCAGACCAGACATCTTTTGCTGCCAAGTTCTAAGCACTTTCCTTAGATTTTTGAATTTTGCAGTAATTAGCTTTTCTTTTTCAACCTGATTGCTTACTTCACACCAGCCTTGCTGGGCAGTTTGGAGAAAGGAGGGTTATAGCAACCAATAATTTTCAAACCTGAAGACCTGCCCTTTGGGAATTGAAGTTAAGACTGTGATATTGCTGGGCCAATGATTAGAGGTTTGCATAATAAGGGAACTCACTGAGGTTTCTGGGTATGAAGTGGTCAAAGAACTAGAGGTGAAGAACCAGTCTAGTCTCTCCAGCAGAGGAGAAGGCTGCTTGTTTGTCCAGGTAAATTTCTTGTCATATAATGGTAGTTCTACAAGACCAAGTGCACTTATAGCTTCATTGAAAAGAAGAATTTCATTCACATCACCCCAGGCTTATTTCTATTTTCTGGCTTTCTTATTAAATTGAAATCCTCCACTACAAGACAATTGTCATTTACAACTGCTAAATAGTGCTTGAACCATTGAAGAAAATTTCTTTTTCCATCATGAGTGCATGGCCCATAAATGTTACTCAGAAACCAAGTATCACTATTATGCCTGGTAGAGAATTTAACTATGATAGCAAAACCACTCTGAAAGATTAACTGACCACTGAAGATGGAGCTTTTCCAAACAGTGATGAGCCCACTAGATGCTCCAATAGATGGTAGGAACTCAAAAGAGTCAAAGCTAGGTGGACTGAAATTTCTAATGAATTGGAGATCAAATTTTTCCTTCTTAGTTTCTTGGAGGCAGAAAATGTCATAGGCACCTTCAGCTAAAGTATCCCCGATTGGACTCCACTTTTCCTCTGAGTTGATGCCCCACACATTCCAGCAAAGTACCTTCCAAAATCTGTGAGCCTGGCTATTCATGACTGTTACATCAAAAGGATGGTGGCGAGTAAACTCACTCCCACCATCAAATCTAAACTTGAAATCACAGGAAAGTATAGGGGGAGAACAAACTTTACAAAGCAAATTGTCTCATATTTAAGAAGACAATAACAAACTAAGCAACATCAGTTCTTGACACTTAACATAGGGGTACTACAACAACAACTAAAGTAGCACCAAACATCCCAGCTTAACACAACGACAGGAGATAAAAAACTAAGACATAAGCGAGGCATGAGCCTAAGCACCCAAGGTGCAAAAGAGACACCAAAGAAGATGGGGCCATCTGACCAAAAACCCAAAGCATAGTGCCCATCTCTGTGTTTGCCCTTCTCCATGGACTTCATTTCTTGGGATTCTTCTTTGGTGTAGGGTCCTTAGGAGTAGAGGAGTCCGCACCTTCTTCATCTTGAAAAGTCAGAGCTTCTTCATTTCCCTTAGGCTGCTTGTTCTCTTTTAACTGCTTCACCTCGACAGTCTTGCTTTCCTTGCTGCTCTTCTTCTTTTTCGGCTTTAGAACCTTCTCAGTCAGAACATCTTCATTAATTTGGCAGAAAGAGGTACCCAGCTTCTTTATCATGGTTGGGGTCAGGTCTGGTGGATTTGGGTTACATCCCAGGCATTTCTTACTGTTACAGTTAGCTTTAAAGCCCTTGTTGTTCAACTTCAATCTTGGGCTTCTTCTTACTTCGGTTTCAACTAAAACAACTCTGGCCTTCTTTCCCTTTTTGTCATTTGGTACCACTGGGCCCTGAGAAGATGAGCTTTCAGGTTGAGGTAGTGCTAAAAGGCTGGTAGAATTCTTACTCTGAAAGGTTGAGCAATCTGGTTCCAAAGGTACTGAGAGACTAGCAAGACTCTTGCTAATGCAGGGAATTTCTTGTGAAGGGCACTGGTTGGGAATCTTGATGAAAGTGATTGATAGGCCTTTGCTGAAAAACTCCCAGGCTTCAG